ATTCGATTGTGTAAATGTACCATAAATTCTAAATTTAATTGTGGTTGGATATTTGGGCTGTTTCCATTTCTTGCTATCATGTGTAACTGTGTGTGTGTGCTGCTTTAATATGAATGTTGGTGTACAAATCTCCGTTTGTGCCTCAGTTCTGTTTTCCTCAGGGTATATTCCTAGCAGAGGAATAGGTAGGTCATAAGGAATTTCTATGTTCAACTTTTTGAGGGAACTCCAAACTGCCTTCCAGAGTGATTGTGCCACTTTACAATCCCACCAACAGTGCCTGAGAGTTCTAATCTGCCCATATCCTTTCCAACATTTATGGCTTACAATCCTGTTACACTTTGCCACTGCTATAGGGATAAAATGATACCTCATTGTGGTTTTTATTTGTGTCTTATTTTAATTGCCAGTGATTTTGAGCATTTCTTCATATGTTAATTCGTTCCTTTTTGTGTCACCAGATATGACATCTCTGCTTGAGCACTTCAACTCTTCCTTTCAGAACATTTTAAGAGTGGGACTAGGGTGAGGTCGCCCCTGCTTCAATGTCATTATTATAGATCATCTGGAATTTATTTAATACTGGGAAGAAGGATTTGGAAGTTTCTAAAATAGGTGTGAAATTTTGATTGAGGCCAAGTGGAATATTTTTACTGGAAAGATGCAAGGCTCCCCTCCTCAATGGAATGAAGTATCATGGTGAGATCCTCAAGTTCCCTAAAATATGCAGCTTAAAGAAGCCACGTTAAAGAAAATTTCCAGTCTTCTGAATCACCTTTACTTAGAAGCAAACTTGTGAACATGATTGACCTACAAGTCATACAAGGCAATGGGTGCTCAACAAATGACCATTCCTTGCTACATCTGATATCACCAGATCACCCTGGAAACAAGAGAAAGCTTTCTTCTAAAAAAAAGAAGCTGATCAGATCATAGCTTCAATGAATATCCCGAAGACAGGAAGGATGAATACATACCTTGACATGGACTTTCATGTATTGATGCTAAATAAAATACAAATGACAGAAGAAAGAATTGAAGTCACAACAGAAGTAGAAGCAACTAAAAATTCATTATAAGACAAAGCAGAAGGGAGTATTGGAAATGACAGAAAGACAATTCAGAATAATAAGACCAATGTTACAGAAGTAATCAACATGTTGTTGTTGTTGTTGTTGTTGTGTGCCCTGGAGTAAGAAACAAGTGTGGGAAGGACAAAAGAACAGTATGGAAGAGATGGAATGTAGAATTAGTGTGAGGGATTATAAGACCCTTAATGAGAGTCTCATAGAAGAAAAAGCAGAGATAAGATGGAATATGAAGAAAACATAAAAATAATGTGGGATGATATCAAATGAAGCAACATACTGTGTGTTTGGAATTCCAGAACAGGAGGGGAGAAAATGCATGAAGAAAATAGTAGAATAAATACTAGAAAAAAACATTCCAGGTATCATGAAAAAATGAGAAAATATAAATTCAAGAAGGCCAGTGTATGCCAAACAGATTAGAATACAAAAGAAAAACATCAAGATATATACTAGTGGGAAATAAATAAATAAAACAAACAATAAACAAACTCCAAAAGAATATTTTAAAAAGGCACTTCCTAGTCAAATTCTCCAAAATCAAAGACAAGCCTAGAATACTAAAAGCAGCTCAAGAAACAGAGTCATCAGCAAAGGCAAACCAATTAGATTATGTTCTGACTTCTCAGCAGAAACCATGCAAGTAAGAAAACAATGGATTGGATGGGACATAAAGAGCTGAACAAAAATAATTGCCAATCTATAATCCTATATCCAGTGAAACAGTTCTTAATGGAGAAAGTAGACCACTCACTGAAATTGTTGTTGTATGACGCAGTCAAGGGTTTCTAATATTCCATATCAGTACATAAATCCTTTGACTCCCTATCTAGCCTTGTCTCTCTGTTTCTCCTTTCATTTGTTCATCCGTCTATCCAAAAGCAAAGACACTCTGCTAGGTTAGTTTCCGCATACAAGGTTCTATATACACAGTTTCTGGCCTTATGGAGAAGAGACATCACAGTCAGTGTTCTAATCCATCTGGGCTGAAATAGAGAATAATTATAGTGAAATTTTGGTGGCCTAGTGGTAAGAAGCTGCACTGTAACCCCAAAGATAGACAGTTCTTTTTTTATTTTTTTTTTTTTTATATTTTCATGAAAGTATAAAAACATATTGCGATGGGAAAGTCTGCTGTTAGGGACCTCTCTAAAGTACTCAAGAGAAACGGTGTCTCTTTGGAGACGAAGGTGCGCCTGATAGAGGCCATGGTCTTTGCAATCACTTGTTATGCATCAGAGAGTTGGACAATGACTAGGGAGGACAGAAGGAGAATTGACGCCTTTGAGCTGTGGTGCTGGAGAAGAGTATTGAATGTACCATGGACTGCCAAGAAAACAAACAGATTCATCCTAGAGAGGGTTAAACCAGGCTACTCCTTGGAGGCAAAGATTCTGGGGCTTCGTCTGACATACTTTGGACATGTTTCAAGGAGAGACAGGTCTTTGGAGAGGGACATCATGCTGAGTAGAGTAGAGGGACAGCGCAAGAGGGGAAGACCCTCTATGAGGTGGATTGATTCGGTGACTGTGGTAATCGGGATGGGTGTGTCAGAGGCAATGCGATTGGCACAGGATAGAGCACGGTTTAGGGCTGTTGTACATAGGGTTGCTATGAGTCGCAAACAACTCGACGGCACATAACAATGACAACAACAATATAAAGAACTCGGACTTCCATTCATTCATTGTTACACATTTTCCTCCCTGCTCTCCCTCCCCCCAAGTTCCCTTTTTTCTTTGGGGAAAAAAATTCTTTCATTGTTATACAATCCCTTGTTTCCCCACCACCACCACCACCACCACCACCCTGGACCAGTTTACTATCCAACTCCTATTCTGGACTCTTGTCATGTCAATAATGCATAATCAGATGTTCCTTTTATGCAGTTCTCTCCCTCATCTGTTTCAATGCTGTGTGCATTATTTATTCCCTCTTTTCTTATTTTCCTCCCAACCCTCATATCAGTCCTGTTCTATAACAGTGCGTTATACAGTATTTGTCTTTTTGTGACTGAGATATCTCACTCAACATAATGTCCTCCATGGTCACCCATTTTGTATAATATTTCATGAGTTTGTTTTTGGAGCTGCATAATATTCAATTGTGTGAATATACCACAGCTTCTCTATCCATTCATTTGTTGATGGGTACCTGGGTTGTTTCCAACTCTTTTATGAACAAAGCAGCAATAAACATGGATGTGCATATATCTGCTTGGATGGTACTTATGGTTTCTTGAGAGTATAATTCCCAGTACCGGAATTGCTGGGTCAAATGGTATTTCTATTTCCAACATTTTGAGAAAGTGCCATACCGCCTTCCATAGTGGTTGCACCATTTTACACTCCCAACAACAGTGAATAAAGGTTCCAGTCTCTCCACAACCTCGCCAACATTTGTTGCTTGCTGTTCTGTTAAATTTTGCTCTTAAGATCAGCTATGGGTTCTGACCCAATGGTACTCAACATCGTGAAAAACCAGGGACAGGGTATCCCAGGCAGAAGGGCAGTGTGGGCAAAGATGCAAAGGGTGTGGTGAGTTAGAAGAACAAAAGAAGCTCAGTGTGACTTGATCTTTTGAGTTCAGGGAAGAGTGGACCATTTGGGAGCCAAAAGGAGGTGGAGCAGGAAGCACACTCAACCTCTCAAAGTTTCTTTTGTGAGTCAAGAGTCAAAGTTGTCTGCAGCCCTGAGGCAAATGCCGGGCTTTCTATCCACCCTCCTCAGACAATGCAATCCCAAGCTGACTCCTTTATGTCCATGTTGCCATCAATTCCAGCCAAAGAACAATTAAAAAAAAATAATAATAACTATACAATTGCTAACTGGCAGGAGTCCTGATAGGGCAATGATCAGTTCACTTAGATGCCAACTGGAAGATAGAAGTCAAGTCCATGCAGAGGTACTTCTGAAGAAAAACCTGGCCATCTACTGCCTAGCAGTTAGCCATGGAAAAACCTCGTGGAGCTCAGTTCTACTCCAAAGCCCATGCGGTCACTGTAGCTGTCAGACTCAGCTAGTTAGTTACTGGTGAACTAGTGTTTGGTGAGATCTGCCCCAGACACCAGATACACAAGCATATTAAACAGAACAAACTGGCCTGTTTTACCCAATTTATTGCTTTGTTTTTGTTTTGTTTTTTTGTTTTTTTAATTCCATTTAGCCCTCTGCAGTTCCCTTCTAACTGGTTGTAGCTTTGTTCAGAGCTAAGAAATTGTGTATAGATTTCTTCCACGTTCAGCTTTCAGGCATCAGGAAGCTGTCTTCAACTCCCTCGTTTCCCTGCCTGTCCCTGTTCTGCATTGTTAGCTGTAGAGAAAACTTGTGCTGTTTCCTCTTTAACAAGCCTCCAATGTGAATGCAAGACAGGAATCTAGAATCTAGAGCTGCGCTGTCTAATATCGCTGCCACTAGCCATAGATGGCCACTAAGCACTTGAAAAGTGGTTATTGGGAAATGAGGTATGATAAATACAAAGTAGAGAGTGATACCAGAGTGATGTCATATCATAGAGTGATACCAGGGATGGGAAGTCACAACAGGTCTCTTATGAATAGGTGTCCTCTTATGACAAGTGCTCAATAAATGTTAGTTGAAATATAACAGTGCATGGGCTTTTGAACTTTGCTATACAAGATAGATTGGGATGTTTATTAAAATTTAGATCCCTGGGTTCTAATCTCAGAGATTCTGGTTTAAAAGGTGCCTAGAGCAAGAAATCTTCATTTTTACCAAGAGCCTTAGGTGATTCTAATGTGTTCTCTTCAGTGGACCAGACCTTGGACAGAATTAGACTGCACACAGCACAAGCAATTAAGAGCATGTACTTTTGTGATTTCAGCAAAAGATGAACATTTTCTAATTAAAAAAATAAAAACAAATAAACATCAATATATACTTTTCTTTCTAGGAGAAAGAGCAGAATGTGGCACCACCAGGTAAGAGTCCGAGGGTCTTCTCTCACTTGGTCCCTGAGGAGGAGGGGGGTGAGGAGGGTAAGCAGAAAGGGAGGATGGTGGGAAGCTGAAGCTCAGAGAAGCAAAATGTTGTGGAGCCAGGTAGTTCACCACAGCCCTCCAGGACTGCATGGGTGTGCGGGGAGGGAAGGCAGCATTGCTGTTCCAGTGCTTGCTTGTTGTAGCCGCCTCAGGCTGACCACAGGGAGAGGGAGGTCTTTAGATCTGCTGTGGGGGGGCTGGAGAACAAGTGCATTTCCTTTGGCCTCTCTCTCCATGAGCCGGGGCCATGATATTTCATAGTGGTAGAGGGAACCTGGCAGAGGCCAGAGTGTATGGGTGGCTGTTGACCTCTCCCCATCTGCTATGTGGCTGCTGAGCAAACTGCACAGCCTGGCCTGGGAGTCTAGCCTAGGACCCCCAGTCAGAACTGGCTGAGGCTTTGGACGGGGCTACCATCGCACATGCATAGGCCTGCGCTTATGCATCTAGCCCAGGTGGGCACCAACGCCCTGACTGCCATACCTTAGCATTATACCTCACAGGCACTGGGAGGGCCTCTAGGAGACCCCCAGGTGGGAAATTAACAAACGGGCAACTTCAGCTTTACCTCCAGCTTGCTCAATGCTACCCTTGTGCTTTTCCTTCAGCAAACCAGAGACAATGAACACTTTCCACTTGGCAGCTGAGAGCTGACAAGTGACTTTCAGCCACTGGGCCTTTCCTCTGCCCAGGTTACTACTGAGAGTCCAGCCATTTCTGAGTTCTCAGCTTTGCCCAGGCTGCATAAAGATATAGCTGCTCTACTGCCCAACCTTCATTCAGCCAGTGGCCCAGAGGCCTCCGCTCTTTTGACAAATGGTAGAGTTGAGCTACTTTTTGCCTTATTTTCTGGGTCCAGAGACCTAAGGAGATCCTTTTGTCACAAATTCTTCCTAGTGGCCCAGAATCCTGGAAAGCTGCTCTATCTGGCAGGGAAGATGAATCCCCAGCTCTCTTCTGCTCCACAGGAAGTGAGCCGACTGGGAAGTCTCAGAGAAGCTCCTGGGTTTTGCTTTGCCGGGCCCCCAACTTGGGGAACACAGAGCCTCCCCACAAGTCTGGCTCTCTCAGCAGTTAGCTCCTCTGGGCTCAAGCAGTTTGGGAACATCAGGGTGATTCAGAGAGGCAGGTCCAGGCCCTCCCACTACATAGATTAGCAGATGTGCAGGGTCCCTTTCTAAAACCTTTTAGAAACAAACCCCTTAATTTTTTTCCTCCTCTAGCAAGAGGATGTTATCAGAGTCTCAAAACAACAGAAAGCACATTTTACACCAGAGTCTGCAAACAGTGAAACAGATGGCAGATGAATTGAGCTGACCTAATTCACTTAGAAGGAGATGTTTGCTCCAACATATCACAGGGGATGTGATGTGATGTGATCAAGCTTTTGACCAGTTCTAAGGGCTCTACCTCAAAGGAGAGTGCAAGGGGTTGATTTTCTTTAAATAAAGATCTCTGAGGCGCTATCTTCCATGCTCCCTTTGACCTAGGACCTTGGAAAGTCAAGCTGAGATTACTTGACCTCCCACTTTCACTATAATCAACTGCAAACCAACCATCTGCACACTGGTCCTTGGTTGCCCAAGGAACCTTTGTTAGTAAGAAGCCATCCCTTCAAAAATCATTGGTTTCTTGTTGGGAAATCCAACTATTGCCAACTTGGAAGAAGTTTTGAATTTATACTTAAAGATCCCTGGGAAGTAGCTCAGTGTGTCTTCCATCCATCCTGCCTGTGGTTGGTGCCATTTTGGATTAGCTCTGCAGCAGAGAGCCCTTGATGGCTTCGTGTACATGGACCAGTTTGTGCACTTTGGCTGCAGTTTGTTGTACCTTTCTTACATTTAAGAACTTATTTTAGAATATCCTGATTCCATAATGATAATTCGGGCCTGGCCAGATGATTTACTGCACTTGATAAGTCTGTTTATCATTAATGGCAAAGCACATCTGAGCATAGAGTCAGATTAGCATTATTCAAACTGAAGTCCAGTTCCTCAAATTCACATTGACTTAGCCTCTTGTCTAAACTAGTGTTGAAATCACTTGGTGTTTGTACCCAAACATGTGCAATCAGGTGTATGCACAAGCAGAGCCGCAGGCACCTAAATGCCCTTGAACTACAACACTGCCCCCTTTGGGGCATTAACTTCATGTGAGTGTCAGTCAGCTTATTGCACTGTCTTGAATATGCTGTAATTATCCTCCTTTAGGTCACAGAATGATTTTGAGGGTAACTCCTGTGTCGACAGCAATTTCAATCTTTGTTGAAAGGCAGAAAGGGGACATTGGTCTCTGGTTTCTCTTTCTTCCTCTCTGTGGTTTTTCTTGTTCCTGTTTTCCCTGCTCTCTCTTTTTCTTTCTATCTTTCTTTGTTTTTTGCTCTACAACTGAGCAGCAGAAGAGATGGAAGGCTTAGGCTGCCCCACTTTCCTTGGCTGAGCTGCCCCCCTGCTCCCCACTTTGTGCCCCACCCTGCACTTCAGTAAGTCTGGATCGACTTGATGTCATACAAAGTTGGGATAGCTACGTTTCCTTGTCAGAGCACCCAAGTCCGTGCCCAGAGCGTGCATAAAGAAAGGAAGACCAATTTGAATCAAACCGTTCTTTGCTTTCTGGGCAAGAGAAATGGGAATTATGCACCCAATTTCCCCTATTTTGTAAACTCAAAAACCAAAGAAGCCTAAAGAAATCCCTCTGGTGGGCACCCTACATTTTCCCCCCTATTGGGTGTCTAACACCTGCGGAGAGAGCCTCCAGCCTTGCTGGTCGTGTAAGTTTAAATGGGATTTAATGCTACTCTTCTTTGTGTGATGATAAAGTTAATTTCTCAATCTCACACTCACACACAGAGCTGAGTTCTACTCGCAACCGCAATCCCATTTCACGTGTGACGTGGGGCAAGTCTCTGGTGTGCTCATGTGCCTTCGATGTAAAACGTGGTGAATGATTCTTGCCTACCTCACAAGGTTGTTGTAAGGATATCACACAATGTGAGATAAGGAACTGGTTCAGGGATGCTCAAACACAGAACCACAAAACACTATGAAAAGCAAGTGGCAACATTTGCTGTCTTCAAGCTACCCCTGATCCAAGGATTAGAACCTATGGCCCTGTGTTCCATTTTTGGCATTTTCTTCTGACTTTGCATTGAGAAATTAAAAAACAGATGGAGTATAATAAATGCCAACCCCATAGGTTGTTTTTATGTGCCATCTATTTAAAACCAACTCATAGTTGACCTTCCAGCAGGTTTCCAGAATCTGTAAATCACGTGAGAGGAGAAGGCCCATCTTTCTCCCTCAGAATAGCTGGTGGATTCGAACCACCTGCCTTTGAGTTAGTAGCACAACTCCTAGTCCTAAGCCGCCAGAGCTCTCTACCCCTCTACACACATCCTAAATAAATAAAAAAAAAATTAAAAATAATCTAACATTAAAAAGAAGAAGAAGAAGAAGAAGAAATAAATGACATGGACTTAGCTAACCAAATTGACAAAGATCCAAGATGGGCTCAAAATAATCTTGCCTGTTATTTCTTTTTTTAAAAAAAAAAAATTCTGTTTCATTTTTCATTCTTTTCTTTTTGTAATTTCCTGTCTGTGTGACTCTGAGCCCCTTGGTCTGTGTTGTTAGTTTGGTTCTGTCTGGGGGCATGATATTTGAGTTAAGTGTTATTTGCCCATGCATGCCTTGCAGCTGGCAGCCTTTGCTCAGCACTCAAATGCCTAGAAGTTTGTCGGCATTACCTCGATGGGCTGGACTATAAAGGGAGGCATGTAAGCCCAGTAAAAAGAGGCCCAAGTGAATGCCATGCATCGTCTTTATTGGCTGCAAAATTCATGACATCTCTTTCCTACTCATGGAAATCAATTGAGGAAATCTTCTGGTCTTTGCTCATCACGTGTGAGCCTTGTCTGTGCCAGACTGGGTCCTCTGTTGTTGCTCTCCCAGCACTGAACCAACTCATTGGAAAATAACTGGCCCTTTTGATGAGGAGCCTCCTCCTAATCTCAGAAAGCCCTGGCAGCGTTGACTCCAGGCCAACTTGGGTAAATGCTGAGCAAATAAACCAACACAGGTATCTGCATGGTGAGCAACCCTGGAATCTGGCCCACCGTTTGTGTCTGTTTCACTGTCCCTAGTGAACGGTGGTGTGATTTTCTCTCACTGTGGCTATGAGTGGAACACAGGGAATGGCTCCTAAAGTAAAGCAAGACCCTTTCAGCCTGTCCGTTAATCTTCCACTTGCAGGAGTTATTGTAATAGATAGGTCTTTGACTGGAAATTGAAAAAATATCTTTAATCTCCAAAATAATTGTTTTTCTGGTGGGAAAACTCCTGCAACTTGGAGACAAATAGGTCAATGTTTGGGGTCTGACTCTGTCAGCGCCCTTCTCTGGCCTCAGTTTCTCGTCCTTAAAGAAGGCCTTTTAGGAATTCCACTATAAAGGTCCCTTAAACATGATGATGAGTTTGAAAGCACTCTAAATGGAAGCCCATTTCACAATGGTGAACAGGATTATTATCTTCTTCTGGATCACCAGGGACTTCAAAGAAGCAGCAACCTCCCTCTTGGCATCTACTTTAAAACAAGAATAATAATAATTACCCTGCCTTTAGATCAATGAAATGAAGATTAGTCAAGTGCATTTGAAATGCCAAGCGGTACGAGGAAGGAACATGAGAGCCCTGGTACATCAGGAAGCTTGGGGATGAATTTAAGCCAAAACAATGACATTAACACTTCCAGTCATCTTGAAAGTGTCTTGCTTTCTCAAGCTATATTCCCTCCCTCTCCCAGACTCCCCCTCCATCTGGTCAGCTTTGTAGGATGACAGTGTCTGGATTTCTGTGGGGTTGTGTTTTTTTTATATATATACTATTTTCCCCTTATGATTTAAAACGCATTTGTATTATATGGAAGTGCTTCTGGTTAAAACCTTGTGTAAATGTACAATACTCTTATGCATCTAAAGGCCTTCCGATGGAACATTGGTCACCAATGCACTGGGAGTTCAGGGGGCCCGTTTGAATTTTGTATTTCCCACGCCTAGATTTTTTAAAGCATCTTTCCTGCTTGTATGTTTATGTTGGTTACGTTCTTGATTTCTTTTGTTCCATTTTCCCTAGGCCCCCCTGCCTTCCCCCTAAACCACAAAAAATGAGGAGACCTAGGCCTCTCTCAGTGTATAGCCATAAGCTCTTTAACGGCAGTATGGAAACGTTCATTAAGGTACTTGCTGAGGAGCCCCAGAGACCGCGAATGCACCCAATGTAATGGCAGCCGTTGTCCACACAAATCCTCTGCAGGCCACGGGCCTGGCCTGACTCCGAATTTATAACCCATCTGCCCACCCCTCATGCAACCTACCACCGGCCTGCAGCCTGCTCTGGGTGTCAGTGAGGCCTCAGCCAGAGCTGCTTCTCCTCTAAGCAGCTGCTTCTAGGGGCCTTCCTGTGATCTCCAGGCCTGGGAGAGAGAAGATAAGGATGAAAGCAGTGAAACCCAAGAGGGGTTGAGGCGCCAGAATGGCCAGCAGTCCTGTTTACACACCACTGTTGGAGCCAGAGTTCTAGAGCAGGAGACACGGTTTGAGAAAGTTTATATCTTACTTCTGCCACATTTCCCAAGAGAGGGTGACTGAAAGCAGCACAAAGAAGTGGGTAATACTGTGTTTTTATTCAAGGTTTTTGACTGGGTTTCCCCTTCCCCCAGGTTAAGAGGATATCAACAAGAGAAACACACAACATTCTCACTAGAGTGCCTGCCACATCTCTTGATTTTTGCTTCTTGCTAAGCAGTTACAGGGAAGGGAAAAGATGTAAAGTCCAAGGCAAGGAAGATGGTGATGGAGTTGAAAGGGTAGCAGTTGCAAAATGAACCCCAGGAAAGGAAAATGCCTTATTACAATTACTTACGGGGAAAAGAAGAAAGTAGCTACCAGGTATCTGAGAGCCCATCACTGCCCAGTGGAGATACTTCTGGCCAAAAACAAGACAGAGATATATCTTAAACTCTCCTGATGACCTGAGAGGAGTGACAGAGAGCATGTCTGTGACAGCCCCTCACACAGGCCTTTTCAGGGAAGGGAGGGATTGGACACCAGAGCTGCCTCAGGGTTGGGACAGGGCTGCCAGGACCAGCCTCTGCCCCAGGACTGTCTCTGTCTGTAAACTAAGTACTAGGAAGAGAAAGTGGGGGAAAGGGAAAGTGGAACAGGAGGGTGTATGTCTGGGCAGGAAGTTTCAAAAGCCATGAAGCTTGGAGGATGCTTGCAAAGAGGGACCTTGTTAGGTGACCCAGGAAAGAAGTAATGCCTAGAACTGACCCAAGCTTATAATTCAATAGGTCACGGAAGGATGATGGACTGTGTTAGGAGAGCCCTCCCTTTCTTCATTCTCTCTCTCTCTTCCAAAACTGGGGTGTTGGTTTTTTTTTTAACCCACCCTTGTCCTCAAAAGAACCATGCTATCTAGCCGACTGGGTACTTGGCAGTCATATTGGTTACTTCTGCTTATGGAGCTTTTAGCACAACTTGGAGGTTTTAAGCACTGAAAACTGAGAGTGGAACATGCTTTACATGGGACAAGTTCTGTGAGCATTCAGAGCAAGCAGCCCTCTCAAGCATTAGAGGACAGGAGACTTCCCTCTGGCTCTGAAGGAGGGAAGACAAAGAGGAACAGAACACAAGGAATTCCTGAAAGGAGGAACAACTCGAAGGCTCAGAATAGGATGCTTCCCTTCATTGACTCAGTTCCTTGGAAATGGGTCAGGAAGCAGCAGACTCTCAACTGGCAATATTTGATACTTAGGTAGATGATGTGTGCTGCAGAGTCGCATAGCTGACCCTTCAGCAGGTTTTCAGGGACAGTATGTCAAACGGAAGAAGAATGCCCATCTTTCTCCCACGGAGCCACTGGTGGATTTGAACTACATGCCTTCATGCAATAACCTGTTTGTGGTCTTCCACTGCACATTCAAAACATGCTGCTATAGAAAGTGTGGATGGAGGAATTTAAGAATTGGGAGACCCCTAGTCCCACCACCCTGCATGTACTTTCAGTGGCTTCTCATGACTGTGGCATGGAGATGTTAGCAAGTGCAGCTCCTTACTACTAGGCCACCAGATAATCCACTTAAATATTCTCTTAAAAGGAAGAGACCAAATTAGTATGTGACCATAAAATTGTTGTCTAACTTTTTTCCTCCTGACAAACAAATCTGACTGTATTCATGTCTGCCTCTCTAAGGTGGTCACCTTGGCTGTGATTTACATGCTTATTGCAACTGTACAGCCATTGACACAACTGTTTAAAGCAAAAGAGCCAAAGGCAGGGTGTCATTATCAGTCATGCAGCACACCCATGCTTCACTTCATGATGAATGCCTTAGCCTATTCAAACATAGAGGCCATGCAAGGCTCAGCATTACAGAGCCACTGGAAGCACAAAATAGGAAGCGGGATGAGCTGCCGTGACACTCGCCAGCTAGACCCCTGAGCACTGCGGTGTTGGCTAAGATAGGTATGCAGCCTCCCGAAGGCGCTACTTAGGAGAAGCATACTCGTTTGAGAAAGACATGATTATGTTTGTTAAACATCATTGCATTTCCTTAGCTACATGGTTAAGTTCCAAAAACCAAGTCACTAAAAACTATACATTATACAAAAATGGAAACCGACCACATTGGATCACAAAGTGGAGGCCGGCTCTATCATGAAATAACTACAAAACGCCATCATTTCCACAGCTGCCAAACCGCTGACAGCATGGCCACTCACGGTGACACACGTGCTTAGCCATCACGACCAGTGTTATTCTTACCTTGTACTTCAGTGCTTATTACTGCCAAACATTTGTTATCTATGTTCAAAACAGATTTTTTTTTACTATTGTGGTAAATGCAAGGTGTCATCACATTGTTTTTATACCACAAACTGTCAGTTGACTGAGCTCAACCAGCGCACCCAGTGCCCCTTCTATGAGCTGGGCAGTGGGTGGCAAAATGACACATGGCATGGTTCTTGCTCTTGAGGATTTATATGCAGAGAATGAAAAGGTAGTGAGGTGCACTTAGTCCTTCACCTCTTGGGAACAGAATTTCGTTTTCTATGATGATTCACATGCTAACTGAAAGGCTGTCCTATTTGAAGAGTCCTTAGTACACGTTGTTATAGTAGTTGTGTACCATCAAGTTGGAACCAACCCATAGTTGACTCTCCAGTGAGCTTTCAGAGACAGTTAATCACACTGGAGGAGATTGTTCATCCTTCTCCAAGTGAACAACTGTTGGATTTAAAATGCAATTGCTAGGGAGCTCTAGTGGTCTTAGTGGCAAGAATCTGTGCTGCAATCCTGAAGACGTGCAGTTCAAATCCACCAAATGCTTCCTCCCCCTATGCCAGTCAGATCTGACTTGGTGGTACACAAGAAGAAAAGAATTAAGATGCCATAGCTGTGCAAAATTTTCCCACTCAGTGACCTCCCCAGGACTCCATAATTATGATGACTAAGGACAGGGGCATGCCACTGAGTTAATAATGATGAGTAAATTTTGCTGTAGTTTCTCAATTCCTAGAACCTACGCTGAGTTGAGTCCTTTAAAATTCCTTGCTTTTCTCCCTCCTTCTAGCTAGAGGAACACCAATTTTTTTTTATACAAATAAATTTTAATCCCTAGGAGCTAAACTTTGGAGGAGGGGAAGAACCCTCCTTTTCTTTCTATGAATAACAATGACATTGTTTGGAGACCTGAGGCAATTGATAGACACCAGATCTATTAACTAGGGCACGGCCTGGAGCATTATAAGTATAATGAAAGTATTAGCTATTGCTGCTCCTATCACTTGCTTTTCGGATATTGTTCATGCAGCTCCATTTGATGAAGCTGTTGTCTCAATTCTAGGACTCAGGTAGGTTGAGTTAATGTTTTCACTAAAAGATAATTCTAGCTGTTGAGATGTCAGGGACTGAACAAATGATACAACTAGAGGGTATCTATCCTACGGTTTCTTAGCTCAGCCTCCTCAAGGGGTCTGGATGAGACATAGTACCCACACATGGGAAGAGTGCTCCCCATCTTAGACAATGGTAGAAGACAAATATGTCTCCTTCCTATTTGTGGGGAGCTGGGCTTTCTTTAAAGGATCTTTGGTAGCTTTTTGCCTTTGGGTGAATAAGTCCCATGTATTGAGTAGCTACAGGTGGGATGAGGAAGAGATTCTCCAGGCACCCTTCCTGTATTTGGCAAGGACAGAAAGAGGCCTCTGGGTCCCCAGTGTCATAGGAGAGACTAAATTTCTCATATTGGAAGGCTGGCTGGAGGCTGATCCAGATTCTCCTATGTTCCCGGAGCTGGGGTGACCTTCCCTGCAGACAAGCTGATTGGCAGACTCCCCAGGACCTTTGCTGGCTGCCATTGCATTTCGGCATTCACAGACTCTGAAGGATCTGCTTACTCTAACTGATCTTACTCCTGCATAATCTTTTCTTTTTCTCCTGCTCTGCTGCCTGTTTATTTTTTGTTATCAGAGGAAGAAGAAATGCTCGAACCAGGAACCAGGTATTTACGAGAAAGGCCCAATCAGCCCCATTCAGCTGGCTGGAGTGTGTCTTTAGTATTAACTTCCAGAGCACAGCGTATCTTGCCTGTTGCCAGATGTGTCCATATTCTTGTCTTGTCCCTGGCCATAGTTAAACAAGGAAAGAATTCAAAGTAAGGTGTAGAGAAGCCCACATTCTCTCTGTCTCTTTTATGGAGCATATTATATATGCCTCATTATTTCCTCACCTTCTAAAGGGCTAGTTCTTTCTTCAGAAAGCTTAAAAAATATTTTACGCTCTCTTGGAAAGGAGGAATAACAGAGAGGTCGATTAATCACCGACTAAGAAAAAACAAAATACTGTCCTTTATCCAATCCTTTGTGGTTACAGGAGAGTCTGTTACTGTATTTAGGAATTGCTGAGTTGGTTCCGACTCATAGTGACCCTCTGCATAACAGATCCTAGCCAGGAGTAATTGCAAACACATTTACAGGCCAGGTGGGCAAGTTTGGAACAGTATCTTGTTGGACTTCTTGTAACATGTTTATTGTTACACTTAGCATCCACCTGGAGGATTGGGTCATTACATCATGAGTTTTCCCTTCTTAGAGCTCAAAGGTTAGCTTTTTTTCTCCCCATGGTATATTTCCCTCTTAGAACACTGGGGACTAGCTTTCCATCCATAGTGATGTATTGTTAGGTCTGGCATTAGATATTATTGTCATAGGATAAGGCCTTGATTCTGCATTTTTATTTTGATTCCTGGGAATAATGTTAAGGTGGAGCATAGTGGAGTGGGAGGCCAAGAATTCTTTTTTTTTAGGCAAAGAATTTTTAAAGACAAGACCCCAGGGCCTTCCAGAGAACATAGGAAGCCAGTTATGTGATGGGTGCCCTCTCCCCTCTACTACATAAGCCTATCAAGCCTCCTTACTCCAGATCCACCAGAACTAGGGAATTCTTAACTATAACTCATTGACATTGAGTCGGAACCAACTCAGCTGACCCTCCAGAGGGTTTTCAGAGGCTGTAAATTACACGGGAGGAGATGGCCCGTCTTTTTCCCTTTGAGCCACTGGTGGATCAAGACAGAGCATTTCTTTAAAATCATCATAGCGATGCCTTTTTCCCCCCCTGCACATAACTGATGACTTTCTATTTTAACTGTTCATGGGAACTTTGTGATTAGTAGGAACCATTAATGCTTGTTTTCCTACTAACAAGATGGTACTAATATTCTGGCTTGAGTTTATAATCTGTGTTTGAAATGTCTTTTTTCCTTTGGTCGTTTCCAGGCCAAATAAAACTCACAATTTTTTTCCCTAAGGACTCAGGACAAGCTATACCACTTGTGGTTGAGAGCTGCATTCGCTACATCAATTTATATGGTAAGCTTGATCTTGGGGTCAGTGTTTCTTCTCTTCCTAAATCCTTTAACAGAAAGTGAGATTCTGGCTCACTTTGGGGAATTTTCTGTCATGGCCCCTGGTGGGGGTTATGGGGGGAGGACTCTTGGAATAGCTGCTGTTCCACATACTGTCTTTTGAGCTCATAGATGCCAGAGGGGTGGGAGATGGTACTAAGAGGCCTTCTACGTAAACTGAAGCATGGGAAGGATACAGACAAGTTAGCCATTTTAGTTCCAACCCCATAGCTCTACATTCTTTCCACTGAATGTAACTTCCAAAAAATCCATCAAACCTACTAGACTGTATACTGCAATGAAGGAATTACAGTATCTGGAATTCCCATAGGATACCTGGCACCTAAATTGTGCTTCTATCTGCCCATTTATTCATTCCCCAAAAAATATACTTACTGAGTGTTTGACACACATTGTTTAGATATATTAGGGAGCTCTGGTGGTTCGGTTTTGAGTTGTTTTGCTTTGTGTTTTTTTTGTTTGTTTGCTTATTTAGACATTACAAGGGTTAACAAAACAACTAAGATACTGGCTGTAGCTAAGCAGGATACATTCTCAGATGGAAGGAAAAGGAAATCAATAGAGGAAACAAGTATAGAAGTACGTATTATCAGGAAGTGATGATGCCATGAAGATAATAAAAAGGTTATTATTGTTGTGTACCATCGTGTCAGAACCAACCCATTGCTGACTCTCCAGCGGGTTTTCAGAGGCAGTAATCGCACTGGAGGAGATTGCTCATGCTTCTTCCATGGAGCAGCTGGCATATTCGAACTACATGTCATTGTGATTGCAGCGCAGATTCTTACCACTAGGCCACTAGGTACAATCAATGATTTATTCATTGTAAATACCTTTTTTTAAAAAAAATGTAAACTGAGAAGATTCATGGATCTCACCTGATGGACTATGCAGGAATCAAGTTGACTACATCTGTGGAAAAAGTCAATGGAGATGTTCAATATCAGCAATTAAAACAAGGTCAGGGGCTAACTGTGGAACAAATCATCAATTACTTTGTGCATGTTTAAAGTGGAAGAAAATTTAAACACTCCACTAGAACCAGAATATAACCTACAGCATGTTAGTAATGTTGAGTACTTTTGAATGCTTACCTGAATTTTAAAATCATCTCAAAAATCATTTTGATGCATTGAACACTAATTAGCTAGGCCAGATGATTTGGATAGCATCAAGGATATAATCCATGAAGAAATCAAAATGCCATTACAAAGATGAGGAGAAAGAAAACACTGAAATTGCTCTAGAACATGTTGTTGTTGTTGTTATTGTTTTTATATGTCGTCGAGTCACCTGCGACTCACAGCAACCCTTTGTACAATAGATCTGAACCCTGCGCTGTCCTGAACCAGTCTCAATGACTCCAACACACCAATCCCCATTGCATCAGTTACTGTATCAGTCCATCACATCTGGGGTTGTCATCTTCTGCACTGTCCCTCCACCTTTCTGAGCATGATGTATTCTCCAAGGACCCATTACTCCTGGCCACATGCCCACAGTATGTGAGATGAAGCTTCAAAATCCTAGCCTCCAAGGAGAAACTTGGTTTCGTCCCCTCCAAGACAGACCTATTTGTTTTCTTGGTAGTCCATGGTATTTTCAAGACTCTTCTCTAGCACCACAACTCAAAGGCATTGATTCTTCTGTTATCATTAGTCATTGTCTAGCTCTCTGATGCATAGCAAGTAATTACAAAGACCATGGCCTCAATAAAGAATATCTTAGTCTCTAGATTGGCATCATTGCTCTAGAGAGGTCCCTAGCAGCAGATTCTCCAGTGCAGTTTGTCTTTTGATTTCCTGACTGTTGGTGCCAAGAGTATTGATTGTGGAGCCAAGCAAGCTGTAACAGTTAATAACCTCAATCTCCTCTCCACCTATCATGGTCTACCAATTGGCCCAGTGGTGAGAATCTTTGTCTTCTTGATGTTGAGCTTCAATCCATGACTACATTCTTTGACCTTCTGCAGCAAGCACTTCAGGTCCTCCTCAGTTTCAGCAAGCAAGATTGTGTCATCTGCATAAAGTAGGTTATTGATGAGTCTTCCTCCAATCCTGATGCCACATTCCTCCTCATAAAAAAAAATAAGTCCAAAAAGCACAACCCCTAGGGAGAAACACTTCAGTAAGAACTGATCAGAAGATTTCAAAAGGTAGCATTAGCAGACAAAGAAACATATTATTATGAAGAGCTAAAATAAGAAAACCAAAAAGGAAAGAACACACTCAGTATTGCTCAAGCTGAAAGAACAGAAAAATAAATTCAAGCCTATAGTTGCAATATTGAAGACTATGGACAAAATTTTGAATGATGCAGGAAGGAAACATCAAAAGAAGGTAGGAGTGCTCACTTCAGCAGCACATATACTAATATTAAAATGATACAGAAAAGATTAGCATGGGTCCTGTGCAAGGATGACACACAAATTCTTGGAGCATTCCATATTTTTAAGAGAAATAAGTCTATAGGCCTTGTTTGTGTGTACACCTTAAAAAAAAAGGAAGATAGAAGAAATATAGAGTCACTCTACCAGAAGGAATTTGTTCACACTGAAACATTTCAAGAAGTTGTATGTAATCAAGAATCAATAGTAATGAAGGAATAAGTTCAAGTGCATGGAAGGCATTTGAAGCTACAGGTGGCCTAGTGGTAAAAGCTGTGCTAAAACAATGTACATGAACTTTATGAATTTTGTATGTAAACCAATATGAAATAAATTTTAAAAAGAAACACCTTATAATAACAGCTCTTAAAAAAATGTGCTGCAATCCTAAAGACATGCAGTTCAAATCCACCAGCTGCTCTGCAGGATGGCCAATCTCCTCTCATGCAATTTACTGCCTCTGAAAACCTATGAGTCGATTCTAACTCAACAGCACACAACAACAAGAGTTGATGGAATACCAATTGAGATGATTCAACAAAAAAGTATAAGCCTGAATATGCTCACCAGTCTATGCCAAGAAATTTGGAAGACAGCTGTGTGACCAGTTGATTGGAAAAGATCTAACATTGTTTCCATTTCCAAAAAAGTGATCTAACAGAGTGTGGAAATTCTGGAATTATATCACTAATGTTACATATAAATAATACCTTACTGAAAGCTATTTATAAGCAAGAGGGATAGTAGGAGTACAGGAAACCGCCAGAAGTGCAAGCGAGATCCAGAAGAAGCCATGGCACCAAGGTTATCATTGCTGATGGATCTCGGCTAAAAGCAGAGAATATCAGAAAGATGTCTATCTGTGTTTTAGTAATTATACAAAAGATTTGGTTTTGATTGTGAGTCATAACAAATTATGGATAACATTCAGAATGAGAATGCCAGAACAATTAATTGTATTCATGCAAAACCTATATACAGCTGTTGTCCAAACAGAGAAAGAGAACACAATGTGATTTATAATCAGGAATGATATATGGCAGGGTTGTACATTTTCTCCATACCTATTCAATCTGTATGCTGAGCAAATAATCAAAGAAACTGGACTGTATAAGGAAGACGTGAGGTTTGGAAAAAGACTCATCAACAACTTGAATTATGCTCATGATACATCCTTGCTTACTGAAAGTGATAAGAACTTAAGCACTTGCTGCAGAAGATCAAAGACTAGAGCCTTCAATATTAATTATATCTCAACATCAAGAAAGGAAAAGTCCTCACCACTGGACCGTTAGGCAACATCATGACAGGTGAAGAAAAACTGGAGTTGTCACCAATTCCCTTTTGCTTCGATCCATGATCGATATTAATGGTCAAGATAGTAAAGATATCAAAAAGCTTGTTGCCTTGGAGAAATCTGCTGCCAAGGATCTACCCAAAGTTCTAAAGAGCAAGAATGTCAGTTTAAAGATTAAGTGAACCTGATTCAAGCCATGATATTTCCAGTTGCTTCTGGAAATAGTCTCTGAAAGTTGGACAATAATAAGAATGACAGAAGATGAATTGATGCTTGTATATTGTGGGGTAGAGAAGAGTACTGAACAGACTACCAAAAGAACAAACAAGTCTGCCCTAAGGCAACTAAGGTGCTAGTTAGAAGCAAGGATGATGAAATTTTGTCTCATGTACTTTGGACATATTGTCAGAAGGGCCCAGTCCTCAGAAAAAGACATCATTCTGGAGAGTCAGAGAAAGAGAAGATCTTCAACAAGATGGATTGACACAGTGACCATAATAATGGGCTGAGACTAATCAGCTCACGAGAATGAAGCAGGTTAGGGCAAGGTTCAGATCTGTTGTTCATAGAGTGACTTGAAGTTGTAGTTGACTCAGTGTTGTCTAACAACAGCAAGAGCCAAAGAATGGCTAAAGTAGACCCCTTTGGTTCAGGTAGTAAGGATAGAACTCTTTGAGGTAGGATCAACTGACCTAAGATCTGAGTGACAGAAGGCTCCAGCTGTGCAATGTGAGTGGAAAGAATGGCCAGTGTTCAGGCCTATCATGAGAAGGGCCACGTGGTCTCATGGTAATGAGCCAGGAGCGTGGAATTGAGGATACAGAGGCACACATGTATATAGGCTCATTAAAGAAATGGACAAGATCTTCAACAGTGGTGCTGGCATACTGGACTTCAACCTGCAGAAAGCTGAAACAGGACCACATCTCACACTACACACACAAAAAATCAACTCAAGGTGGATCAGAAACCTAGGGGTAAAGTACAAAACCATAAAGATGACAAGAGATAAAGTGGAGCCAAACTCTGAAGGCCTAGCTTGTTAGGCCACCAGAGTTTCCTATGATGTAAATAGGGGGCAATTATAGCCAGAAATGCACAACCAGGAAATGATAAAATGGGCTCCTTCTAAAGATTAAATCCCTGTGCTCATAAAAAAAAATTTTCCAATAGGGTGAAAAGAAAATCTACTGACTTGGGAAAAACATTTGGCAATAACATCTCAGATAAGGGTCTCCTAATGAAAGTTTTCAGATTCCTTCAGGGCCTCCTTGCCATACAGTGGTAACTTGTGGTTGCTGTGAGGCTGAACACTGTGACACTGATGTGTCAAATGCTTTAATGGTTAGTTACCCAGTGCGGACAGTGTTGGGTGAAACTCCCCAATTAAAACAAGCTTGGAAGCAGGAGCGGCATCCACTTCCATAATAGCTTGCCTCCAGAAACCCTATGAACCTGGAGAGAGGATGAGAGACACACAAGTGTTGAGGACTCTCCTTCATAGTGTCGCTATGAGTTGCCTGTGACTCGACGGCACTTAACAACAACAACAACAACTGGGCCTCCGGAAGAAAAAGACTAATAACCCAGTTATAAAATGGGCAAAACACAGAAGGACTTTTCACAAAGGAAGACATTTGATGGCCAACAGACATGAAGAAATGCTCAAAATCACTGGCAATACAAAGATGCAAATCAAAATAGTGAGATACTATCTCACACCAGTAGCAGTGGCATAGTTTAATAGGACAGTAAGCAGTAAACATTGGAGAGGATGTGGAGAGATTGGAACGTTCATGCACTGCTAATGGGATTGTAAAAATGGTACAACCACTCTGAAAGGCAGTTTGGCATTTCCTCAAAAAGTTGAACATAGAAATTCCATATGACCCAGCTATTGCACTGTTAGAAATATACCCTGAGGAAAACAAATGAGACACAAATGGAGATTGGTATACTAATGTTCATAGCAGTGTTATTCACAATCTCAAGAATATAGAAACAGCCCAAATGCCCAACAACATATAAATGGATTGAGAAACTGTGGTACATTCACATGATGGAATACTACTCAGCACTGATTTTGGATAAAAATGTGGAAGAAACTAGAGAGCATTAGAGCATTATGCTGAGTGAACTTATAAGAATAAGGACAAATACTACATAAGATCATTATTGTAAAACTAGAAGGATAACTAGCAAAATGTAAATAAATGTCCAAGGGGAGAAGGGGAGTGAGGAGGGAGTCTGAAAGTGGGGAGGGGGGAAAACAGTTGTCACAGAATTTGGTGGGCAGAGGGAAAGGTTAAGGAAATGGGAAAAATCCAACCGGGACCTGAAATGGTGGAGTAACGTAAGCATAAATCAATGGTGATTAATTTTATGAAACACAATGTATGGGAGTGATTGTGTAAAATACAATGTGAATGAAGGAAAGTGTGAAACACAATCTATATGAATTGTGTATGTAAGTCAATATAAAATTTAAAAAAAATATGATATAGAACTTGGTGAGCACATACTAGGTGCAAACTACTAGGACTCATTGCCATGCAGTTGACCTTAACTCCTAGTCATCCCATGTGTATCAGAGTAGATCAGTTCTCCACAGGGGTTTTTGTTTGCATTTTGTAAATAAAGCTGTGTGTGTGTGTGTGTGTGTGTGTGTGTGTGTGTGTGTGTTTCTCAGGGGAAAAAGTCAGTATAAAGCTTTTATAAGTGCAGGATTCTCCTTCCTTCCTCTTTCCTTCCTCCCTTCCACCCTTCCTCCCTTTCTCCCTTCCTCGCTTCCTCCCTTCCTCCCTTCCTCCCTTCCTCCCTTCCTCCCTTCCTCCCTTCCTCCCTTCCTCCCTCCCTCCCTTCCTTCCTTCCTTCCTTCCTTCCTTCCTTCCTTCCTTCCTTCCTTTTTTTCCTTTCTTTAATGAAAGTTTTAAATTACTAATTTTAGGAAGTACATCACCAGACTTTTCTTTCAACACTCCTCTTAGTGAGATTTGAACCTCCAACCTTTGATTGGCAGCTGAGAGGGCATTTACAAGCCTATCTTTTAAGAGTCAGCATATTTCCAAATTAAAACGCAGAGCATTATTTTCCTGAGAAGCAACTTGAGACTCAGGGAATATAGATCACAGTTTCCTCCATTAATACTCACTCAGGATGAAGTAGGCTCTTCCAATGTCTTTCATTCTAAAAGTAGTTATTATGGCATTACTACTATGACAAGTATCAAGGTCTCCTCTTTGCTGTGGCCCTAAAAAACAAAAATTTAAAAAAAATATCACCATCAAGTTGATTTTAACTCACAGTGACCATATAGGATTGTCGTATAGGGTTTTCAGTACTGTTCTATTTACAGAAGCTGCATGCTGCCCATACTGGTGGGTTTGAACTGCTGACCTTACAGTTAGCAGCTGAGCATTTAACAAGTACACCCTTTGTGTGACCTTTGGAAACATGTATGAAATAAAACAGTGAAATGGTTTTTATTCAATATTTAATCTCCCCTAAACTCCTTGAGTCTCAAGCCAGAATGCATTTTAGATTCCAACTTTTCTCGAATGAAAATAGTGCTCTGGAGAGGGTAGGGATGAGTGAAGGAGTGGCACATAATTCCATTTCTCCATTACAGTTGCAGTGGCATCTGTAAACTCGGGCCAAGTTGCTTGGTATCAATGCAACTGAAAATTCAGTGGGCAAAGTGCAGCAAGCCAAGCATTTGTCTGAGTTGGTTTAGTTAAAATTGACAATTGGTGTGTCACACAAGTGTTGATATAAACTTCTCGTGGCCTCTTCCTGCAAACCTGGGCAAACAGTCACAGTCATTTGCAGACAGGGTGTATCTGAGTATTTTGGCGGGCTATATGAAAATATCAGAAGTCGTTAGTGTGAGCTTCTGCCAGGAGACCATTGAAAATATTTCCCTCCTAAAGAATGGTGGAGAAAAGGTAGAAGCAGTGCAGAGAGTCCTAGTTATTTCAGTGATCCAGTAAGCTCAAAGCCTCATAACACTTTTCCATTTTCTTGTTTTTAGGACTCCAGCAGCAGGGAATCTTCAGAGTGCCAGGATCTCAAGTGGAAGTCAATGACATAAAAAATTCCTTTGAGAGAGGTAGGCATAAAGCTTAAGCTTTCACTTTAAGCTCATGATTGAGGGAAGACCAGGGTGGGTGTTAGCACATCTTAGGGCTAGTAATATAATGGAGCTGGTTTTTACCAGCTCACACGAAGGCCAATTACAAATATTGGTTCCTAGTTTCACCATAAGTGACTTGACCTTGACATTTTGAAATCAACCATGATGGGAGTATTATGCTACTGCCACTAGCCAATACCAAAATCATTTTTTCCACTCTGGAGGGTTTGCTATTCCATATTTACCAACACAAATCTCCGTAAGGGTAACTTTCACCCTGGGTTCTACATTGGTCACCATGAAAATAGAGTCTTATAAAAAGAACTCTGAAATACCCAGGTAAGTCTACAAAGGATTCTGTATTTTAGAAAAGTTGGAAGAATGTGGATAACACTAAATGGTTTTTGTTGTTGTTAGGTATCTTCAGATTGATTCCAACTTACAGTGACCCTGTGTGTATCACTTCAAAACCCATCCTGCTCCTGCACCATCCTCACAACCATTGCTGTGTTTGAGCCCATTGTTGCAGCTACTATGTCAGTATGAGGAGCTTCCTTTTTTTTTCTTTTCTTTTTTTTTTTTTTTTAATACCCTCCTCTTCAAAAATAATGTCCTACTCCAGGGACTGGCTCCTACTTGATAACATGCCTAAAGCCGACTTCTAAAGAATTTCTGACTGTATTTCTTCCAAAAACAGATTTGCTTGTTCAGTCCACGGTAACCTTAATATGCCTTGCCAGCACCACTATTCCAAGGCATCAATTTTTCTCAATCTTCTTCACTCATTGTCCAGCTTTCATGTGTGTATGAAGCAATTGAAAAGACCATAACTTGGGTCAGTCCTTCAACTTAGATCTCTGCTCTTTAATACTGTGAAGAGGTCTTTTGTGGCAGATTTCCCCAGTGCAATCTGTTGGTTGACTTCATGACTGCTGTTCTCATGGATGTTATGAACTCAAGTAAAATGAAATCCTGACACTGTCAATCTTTCCTCCATTTACCATGATGTACCTTGTTGGTCTAGCTTTGAGAATTTGTGTAATCTTTATGTTGAGATATAATCCATACAGAAAGTTGTAGCCTTTGATCTTCACCAGTTAAGTGTTTCAAGTTCACAGATTGTGTCAGTATATCACTTGAAGGGCTTCTTTTAGCTATTGCCTTTGTAATTTCACCACATGAGTGGGTGAAGGGGGAAAACCCCACCTCATTCATTGCAGTTCAGTTGGAACCAATCTTTTGGAACCAATCTATTGCTGATCTCCAGTGGGTTTTCAGGGGCTACAAATCACACAGAAGGAGGTTGATCATCTTTTCCCTGCACAGCCACTGATGGATTCAAATTGCCACACACACTCACACACAACCAATAAGTTAGCATATAGCTCTTTATGGACTAGAAAGTGGTTGTGGTCCACCAAGGGAATTCGGTACCTTATTAATAATGTAAATGGCGCTCTTGTTGGGTCTAAAATTTCAAAGTCATTGTCATTGCATCCAAACCAAATCATAGTTGATGCTCCATTGGGCTTCTAAGGCTGGAAATTGCCTGAGAGGAGGACCTACCAGAGAGGTACCACATTTGAATTAGCAGCAACCAGAACTCCCTCTAAAGGATGTTGTTATCAGGTACCATCAAGTCGACTACAACTTATAGTTCTCCTATGAACAACAGATCTGAACCTTGCCTTATCTTACACCATCCTTATTATATGTTATGTCCAAGCCCATTGTGGTAGTCACTGTGTTAATTCACCTCGTTGAGGGTCTTGCTCTCTTTTTCTGACCTTCCATGTTTTACAGCACGGTATTTCTCTTTCTAAGGACTAGTCTTTCCTGAGAAAATGCCCAAAGTATGTAAGAAAAGTTTCACCATTCTTGCCTCTAAGGAACACCCTAGTTGTACTTTTAAGATTTGTTTGTTCTTTTGGCATTCCATAAGATATTCTGTACTTTTCACTAACACCACAGTTCAAAGGCAAAGATTCTTCTTCTGTTTTCCTTATTCATTGTCCAGCTTTTAGCTGCATAGGAAGCAACTGAAAAGATAATAGTTTCACTTTCCTCAGTTGCCACTAACATGCTCAGCTTTTCTGAGGAAGCTAAGGCAGCACTGGGGTGAGGTCTTCACTTCACCCTATGACCAGAACAGCTCCCTCCTGGCAGCCTAGCACCACTGTACCATGGCCTCTGTCTCTGAGCTCTCCCGCATCTACTTGGCCCGTATCATGAATGACGATGAGGGGACCGTCACTGAGGATAAAATCAATGCTCTCTTTAAGACAGCTAGTGTAAATTTTAAACCTTTTTAGCCTGGTCTGTTTGCAAAGCCCCCAGCAAACAACATTGGGATTCTCATCTGCAGTGTAGGTGCTGGTGGACCTGCCCCCTTCACTGCTGCTGCTCCAGCTGAGGGGAAGAGTGGAAGCAAAGAAAGAAGACAGTCTGATGGGAGTTTTAGTAAACTCCTTTTATAAGCTGTTCCATAAAAAGCAGTACTCTTTGGAGAAAAAAGAGAAAATATCATGGCTTAGATCAGGTACGATCTTAACCTTTTAACTGACATCCTTGCTCTTTGGAATTTAGGTTAAGTCCTTAACAGATTTCCCCTGTACAGTGATTTCTTGTGCAACGGGTTTCTTGACTGCTGCTGCCAAATATGTTGATTGTGGATCCAAGGAAAATGAAGTTGTTGACAATTTCAATATTTTCTCTGTCTATTATGATATTGCCTTCTGGTCGTTGATATTCAATCCATATGGAATACTGTGCTTTATTATCTTCTCCAGTAAGAGCTTCATCACTTTCTACAGAGAATGTTGTATCACCTGCATAACGCAGGTTGTAAGGAGTCTTCCCCTAAGCCTAATGCCACATTCTTCTTCATGTAATCCAACTTATCAGATGATTTACTCAGCATACAGATTGAATAAATATAGAAAAAGGATACACCCCTGACACACACTTTTCCTGATTTTTTTAATTAAATTTTATTCGTTTTAATGAACATTTACAGAGATTTTGGGTTTTCATTCATTCATTGTTACCCTGTTTTCTCCACCCTCATCCCCAGTTCATTCTTCTTCCCCCCCCCAATGTCTGTTTTAATTGTCCAATTGCCACAGTGCTTGTCAAAACCAGTTCTGATTAATCTCCTTTGTCAGTGTGTCCCTCGCCATTCCCTATCACTCCTCCCTGAGAGAGACTTCAC